TCCACCCCCAGCTTACATACTGAGTAGGCCAGTTTAAGGCATGAAATGTCCCTTTGGTCAGTTGGGGTCAGCTGTCCAGGCTGTGTCCAGCCTATTGTAGTGAAAAAGTGGGGAACACAGGGCAGTATCAGAAGCTGAAGAAGTCCTTGACTTGGTACAAACACTCCTCAGCAACAACTAAAACCACCGGCGTTATCAATGCTCTTCTCAGCACAAATCCAAAACACAGTCTCATACTAGCTGCTGTGAAGAAAATTAACTCTGTCCCAACTGAAACCAGCACAACTTAGTCATAAAATCCCAGTGTTTTTGTCTGTAGAACGAAGGGTTCACTGCTGTCGTGTTAGAGATGGCAAGCTTTTCAGTTCCTGTCCTGGATTTTAAAAGAGTTTCTCGGGTCTTTTGGGAGGAGGTACCTGACACATCAGGACAGGTTGTGGGATTAACCAGATTTCAAAATGACACCGAAGACATACCCAGATTGCCAGTGTTAAAAACTACAATTATCTAGTCATCGTTAAGAGCTTCAGCTACTAATTGCAGTACAAAAATTGCTTTCTGCTAACGCTCTTTACAATCAAATGGACAAAGAACTTGCTTCAGATAATGGGAATAATCTTTCACCTGTTATTTTAGAACTTGCTTTTAAAGGGCCAGGAGTTTGAAATCAGAAATGCAATTTTTCAAATGTTGGGTGAGTCTGTCTTAGTGAGGTCGTCAGGGAATTTATACTCTTGTGTGCTCATGTATAGCTTTGAACTTAGAGATGTTTCTACTTAAATGTTCGGATAAAGATGCTGCGGGCATTCTATAATAGAGGCTGAGATCTTGTGTTGGTAATTTAACCTGTCTGTCTTCGTGGGGTGTGTTTTCCAGATACTGCAAGACTTGGCAGTAGGTGATTGCATATGCAACCTTTTATTGAGAAGTCAGGTGCTGCTAAACCAGTTTCTAAATTATACCTGCTCACTTAGTTTATTCTGCATGTTTTAGTGGAACAAATGCACGGACTCTTCAGAGAAAACATTTTCTTGCCATCTTAACTGACATAAATGCTTAAAGCAGTAAGCCTTGACGGGCAGACGTTATTGGTGTATTTCCGATTTTGCTCTTTCAGACTTTAAAAAGCAGGTTGAAAATCTGCCAGAGTTCAGGTAGCTGTTAATGACTTGCATTTTCCTTCAAAGGAGAATATAAACTACAGAGCTTTCTGAAGCAGCTCCCACTTTTTCAGTAAAATAGTAGATCAGAAGCATAGTTACACGCTTTCCTCAAAACTCAAGATGCACTTAATTTTTTTTGAGCTCCTTCTGCCTTCTCCCAAAGTGCCTTTCTGTCTCGACCTGGCAGTCCAAGTTACTATTGTTCATTTTTTTACCTTCTTTTTCTTCCACTCAACTTTCTGGGTTGTTAATTATGAAAAGGCATTTTTATCAGAAAGCAGTTTGGAAAAGTGCATTCCTTGCTTACAAGATTCTGTTAACAAATTCATTATTAAAATTGCCTTGCAAGCGAATCGTAGGTCATTTTGATGTTACTTTGAGAACAGTGACTTTTCAGAATTTCAAGACAAGGGGAAATAATATTTACATTTTGTAATCATCGTAATATAAAGGCAGAAATCAATAGTCTATTATTAATCACAGTGACTTTAAATTTGTGAGCATCCCAGTGCTGTGCTTGTGTTTCTGTTCATGGAGGGCTGGGAAATAACACCCTGGTCATCATTCAGCACGACATAAGCGGTAAGGTGTGATAATTTTAAGAAAGAAAGTTATCCAGGGAAGTGCATTTGTGGTTCCCTAGAAAATAAAACTAGGGTTCAGGATAAGAATTTGCAGAAGGACATTCAGATTTACCATTTATCAGTTGGCAAGGAAAAAACAGTTTGGTTAACATTCAGTCTCTGGCAAACAAGTCATCGTGGGACCCTTGCTAGGCCAGTGTAATTAATCTCTAATGTCGCAGAGGCAGTTGCAGTGATAGCAGAGGTCTAGTTGTCCGATACCAGCATCTCCTGTTCCAACATACGTATCTGCCAGTAAACAGAAAGAAAGTGCGTCCTTGGATACTGTGTAGTTTCATTAAAATATCTGTTTTCATAAAAGCATAATACAAATGAACATAAAAGAGAAAAAAAACTTCCCTGGACCACTTTGTCTTGGTCACCACACTGAGGATTTGTGAAGAGTACCTACATTTTTGTATACTGACGTACTGGTTTGAGTGCAGCACTTTCCATTCAGTCGGTTTCTGTAAGGCATGCTGATGTATTCAGACACCTGGAAAAACATCAGTTGTTTGCTTACTGTTGCTGACTATTCGTTTAAATACTAACTTCCTAAATGTGAGGCATGAAGTCTTGGGAGACCTCTTGATAATGAAAGCAATCAATTTTTCTGTTACTTCTGTGTATTTCTGCAACTTACTTCAGATATTGTATTTTGCATGTGTTATATTTGGTTTGTTCTCTTTCTGCTGGTGGAATTGACCTCAAAAATAGTGACAGAAAAGGAGAAGAAACCAATTGTTTGTTAGTTAGAGTAAGTAAGGAGTCGATTGGTGCTACTAACAGGTGCATCTTTAATACATGTAATGTTTTCTCTTTGTTTCAGGTCCTGTGCAGAATTGGATGCAGTTCCCTTCTGGCTACAGCTCGCATCCTCCAAACTATAGTGCACCCTCAGGACACTATACCCAAGTGCCCAATAAAGCTGCTGCTTCACATTTGGATAATCAGTACAGAGCAAGTTACTACCCTTCTTACTATTCAGCACCAGCACAAAATGTTCTGACACCGTCTGTGGGTACCGATGGGTTGAATTCACAGGAGTCGCAGCAGTTCTACAGCAAAACTCCTCCCCATACAGTGGGGTCGGCTGAAGGACCTATTCAAGGAGCAATATCCTCTGCATCCTACTTGCATACGAGCGCTCAGCAGTCATACTCAGCATTCGGTAATCACTACAGCTCTTCAGTTGCATCTCAGGGATTTCCCCTTAATTCTGATCACTACACCATGCCTGTGGTTTCTAGTGCCATGTATCCTAACGTTTCCTATCCTGCAGCTGCTGGCAGTGTGTATGGGCAGGCATTTACCTCTCAGAGCCCACCTGCTGTTGGACAGTACAAAGAGCCAAGCACGTTTTCTAGCCAGAGTACGACAGTACCTCATTCACTCCAACAGCACGTTCCCGTGGGATATAATTCAACAATGCCAACTGTTTCATCTGCTCGGTCTGTTCAAGACAACCTCAACAGGAATCTCGCTGGATCGGTTGCTAAAGTAAACAACCAAATAAATACAGGTATGGTGTTATTTGAAGGTTAGTAAACTCCCAAATGTGCCTGGGGAACATCAGAAACCATGCTTTTGTTGGTTTGGGTTTGTTCACTGTGAAATTCTGTACTGTAGTTCTGAATTCTGTCCTTCCTCATTCTTGAAGCTTGTCTCATTTGGTTACTGCAGTCCTCACGGTAGGAGCTGATGATGTCACTCACATGTTTCTATTAATGTATGCAGAAAAAGACACTATTTGTAGCGTTGTTTTAGTTTATTGAGGAGTTTTTTTATGTAAGTGGCCTTGGAAGGGAGTTTTTTCATGCAGTTTTGAAGGAATGAATAATTTCTGAAATATGGCTGTTAAGTATCTTGGTGATTGTTTTCCTTTTCCTGCTGGAGACTTCTTTTAAGTCGTCAACTAAGTGATTTTACCTAAGTGAACATGCATGCACTCTTCAGAAAGTTCAGAAGAAGTCGAAGCCTACATGGGTTTGGAGGCAGTTGGGGTTGTTAAACTAATATGATTTGTTAAGCATTTGAATGAGAATGCTACCTCGGTGGTTTCAGCTGATTTTTGTAAGCAGCAACTTGATGGTTTTAGTATGGATGTGCAGCTATGGAGAGTGAAGTTGCTGAGGGGCCAGCTGAGGGCGAGTATACTCTGGCCTTGCCAGTAGCTGCAGCTTCTGCTTCCTGGGAAAACTGAGCACAAGTGCACAGGGTAGGAAGAATGGAAGGCATGAGAGATGTGGGAGTGCCTCCACACTGAAACATCTTGCTCTCCCTCTGAGAGCACAATAGCACGTGCAGGAAAATACTGGTTTCCTTTCTGTGCTGGTAAGTTTCTGACTAGATGCAGTTTTGGCTTATGGGTTGTGCAAGACTAATGGTTTTCTTTTTTCTGAAGAGACAGGTGTTGGAGAACTGGAGAATGTTTCCTTTTAAACCAGGTATTTCAGATTATAGTTTAAGATTGGAATTGTTTTAAGAGTCCTTGTAGCTGAGACTTTCTAAGACCAAGAACATGGTTTTGATGATGGCAAAGCTTTGCCTGGGAAAACCAGCTAAGCTTAAATCACGCTTATCCAGTCCATACCAAGGTTGAATTCAGTTTCAGTGTTACTTTTCCCCCCTCCCCCAAGACTAAGATGTAGACTGTAACTCCTCAGCTCAGTTGTAGTGCTTTGAATATTAGTAGATTCGAATTCTGTCTCTGAGGTGCTCTGTGCAGTTTTCTTTAATATTTCTAAAATAGGAAAAAAAAACCCTGTTAAAAAAGAAGTGGGCTCCTTAAAAAGCTTCTGAAGTTAATGGCGTTTCAGGGTTGAACATAAAAACAAATTCTTTCCAGGACTAAAGGTTTGTTTCAAACCTCATTCATGGCCAAAACAGATGATACTGTTGAGTGCAGAACCTACAGCTGGACTGGGCAGAATGCAGGTGTCGTTCCAGAATAGTAATACTTGCCATGGTCGTATGAAAAACAACTTAGAGTTTGTTCAGACAGTGTTTCACTTACAGAAGTTTTTTATATAAGTTCCTGTTAATTTTATGTCCTTTGGGGGTGTCTTGAAATCTACAATTTTATGTTTTTATCATAACACTTTTTTTTTTTTTAAGGAACAGCTCTTTTAAGGGTGAAGCAGTGAAGGTAGCCAGACCATGCAGAGCAATATGAGCAATGGATAGTCTTACTTCTGACCCGTTCGGTGTGTTTTGTAAGGGACTGATGGAGTTAATACATGGCCTCAAGAAAATGTAGTCATATGCTTGAATTTCCAAGAGCTGATGATAGAACTGTCTGTGGTGGTGGTGTGTAATAGATATACACTTTGCAGTTAGGGAAATGAACGCTGATCTGCAGTTTCTGCTACGCTTGAGTACCGTTGCAGTACTGGTTTGTTTGCCAGACTGTAAGCATCATTACTCAAACCACATTCAGACCCTTTCTGAGCTTATAAAGCTGCTGAGATAAACATGTCCCGTGCTTCCTTGCACACTGGACTGGATTGTGGAACTGATTTATCTGGAGAATAAATTTCTTTTCCTGGTTCAACCTCAATACGTAAGTGATTCTACATTAACAACTACTGACCTTCCAGCCTCCCCTCTGTGCCTGGGAAGATCATGGAGCAGAACCTTCTAGAAGCTCTGTTAAGGCATATGGAGGATGGGGAGGTGATTTGGAACAGCCAGCACGGCTTCACCAAGGGCAAGTCCTGCCTCACCAACCTAGTGGCCTTTTATGTTGGAGTGACTACATCAGTGGACAAGGGAAGAGTTACAGATGTCATCTGTCTGGACTTTTGTGAGGCCTTTGACATGGTCCCCCATAACATCCTTCTCTAAATATGAGAGAGATGGATTTAATGAATGGACTGTTCAGTGAATGAGGAGTTGGCTGGATGGTCACATCCAGAGGGTGGTGGCCAATGGCTCAATGTCCAGATGGAGATCACTGACAAGTGGTATCCCTCAGGGGTCTCTGCTGGGACCATTACTGTTTAAAATCTTCATCAGTGACATAGACATTGGGATCAAGTGCACCCTCAGCAAGTTTGCTGATGACACCAAGCTGGGTGGTGCGGTCGGCATGCCTAAGGGAAGGGATGCCATCCAGAGGGACCTGGACAGGCTGGAGAAGTGGGCCAGTGTGAACCTCATGAGGTTCAACAAGGCCAAGGGCAAGGTCCTGCACCTGGGTCAGGGCAATCCCAGCACAAGGACAGGCTGGGTGGAGAGTGGATGGAGAGCAGCCCTGAGGAGAAGGACTTGGGGTACTGGGGGATGAAAAGCTGGACATGAGCCGGCCGTGTGCGCTGGCAGCCCAGAAAGCCAACCGGATCCTGGGCTGGACCCAGAGCAGCGTGGCCAGCAGGGCGAGGGAGGGGATTCTACCCTTCTGCTCCGCTCTGGTGAGTCCCCACCTGCAGTTCTGTCTCCAGCTCTGGGGCCCCCAACAGCAGAAGGACACGGAGCTGTTGGATACTGATATGCTGTCTTAAATTTCCCAGTGCAGTCTTACTGTTGTTAGATTCAGTAATTTTATATATGGTATTCCAAATGTTTGCAGCCTTTAAAACAAAGAGTTCGATCTTGAAAACCATTTGCCATGTCTTGTATGTCCTTGGAAAGTGTCTGAGTACAACACACAAGGAATTTAAGGAAATGATGAAATTTTTCTTGATATTTCATCCTCCCTGCTGTCCTTCAGGAAGCAAATGATGGTGGAAAGCAGTTGCAGTCTCTCTGAGTACACCACACAAGGAATTTAAGGTAATGATGAAATTTTTCTCGATATTTCATCCTCCCTGCTATCCTTCAGGAAGGAAACGATGGTGGAAAGCAGTTGCAGTCTCTTCTCTGTGTAGTTTTTAGCAAAATTGTTTGGAAAAAAGATATACTGATGCTTTTAAGTGTGCTTTCTGTGACTCCATGTAAAGAACTGTTTGATACAGTACCCTGCTGTTAGGGTGGCGATAAGGCAGCGTGCTGTCATTGCTGCTGTGCTGTGAAAGAAGGCGCCTTGCAATCCTTAAATTACAAATTGGCGAATCTTAGACCATCCCTGAGGCTACTACTGTCTTACTGTACTTTTCAGTAGCAGTTTTGTGCAGTGAACACTGAAAGCTCTCTGTGGTGAAACAGAAACATTCTTTATATGGAAGCATGCCATGCTTTTAATAAAATGTGTCTTTTTTACACAGTAATTACCCAGGAAACATAGACTGGCGTAGGTTTTGCAAGAGTTTGGTGATTTCAGAATTGTCTATTTGAATCAGAAAAATGCTAAGTGTTGGACTGAAATTGGTTTATTAAAAACCAGTTGTGTGTAGGGCCTTGGAAAGCCTCCAAAATGCTGAATCGATTAAAATCAAACCCCTGAGCTCCTGTATGTCACGTGCTGAGGACATAGGACCACAACAAAACCTTCTCCTAAAACTTCGGCAGCCGCTGTCTGAAATCACTGTAGTGTTTTCAGAGAAGCTTGCTGGGATTTCACTAGAAGAAAAGAAACACATTTGAAGAGGAATCTTTTGCTGAAAGTTGACTTGTTTTGATGAATAGCAGCCAGTGAGAATAATTTTAATTGCTTTAGGAAGTATGAATTAATTAGAGTGCAAATTTAATTTGATATTTTCTTCGAGCTGGTTTAAACTAGCTTCACCTAGCAAAACTGCCCTCTTGCAGTTTTAAGTTCTGTATTTCAGCAGACAGTGGTGGTATAGATTTGTCCAGAAACAATGTTAGGCTATGTAAATAACACACTTTGTATTATTTAGGCTTTTTCTAGGTCAGTAGCTTAATGTTTTCACAGCCTCTTTCAGCTGAAATCAGTGCACTCTGATTTTTCTGGTCAGCCAGGATGCCCAGATTTTACAGGACCCCTCCCCGAGGAGAGGGAGAGAGAGAACTTCTGTGGGTATGTGGTATGGGCTTCTTGGCTTCCTGCATCTTGTCTGCTGTCCTGAAATCATAGGCAGACTGCTTGAGCAGGAGACACTTTAATTTCTTTATCTCATGCACATACTTCCTCTTCTGGCAGATCAGGATCTAAAGTCCTTACTGCCCCAGTTGCATAGGAATGTAGGCTGTAATCCCGTAAATCTGCTAATATAGGTGTGGTTAGACAAAGGGGGAGGACTGCAGCCGAGATACAGAAGTCAGGGAGATAGGATACTGTTGGAAGCCGAGCTGCAGGGAGGTGGAGGATCTCACGGTAGAAATGACGTGCTCTGTTGAGGAGTGGGGCGCCGGGGTTGCAGCTGTAGCAGCTTGAAAGCCATGGTTCTTGTGTCTCCTCCGGAAACCTGAGAAGATACCGTGGCAATTTACTTTTTAGCTAGTACCTGTAGGCCTCAAGTTGGAAACCAAATACAAACTTTAAGTGATAGTAGTGTAATTGTCATTTCTCCTGTACTCTAATTTGCGCCGCTCTGCAGATTCTGCCTGTAACGTACCTTTGAACTGTAGGTCTTCATCAGCACGTGGCTTTTGCAACCAAGTGGTATACTTGGTCGTTTTTAGTGCAAGATGTTCACGGTTGAAAGGCACGAGGGGAACTTTAGTGCACGTTAAAGGTGAGAGGAGTGGGAGGTGAAAACCAGAAAATGCACTTGTTGCTGCGTTTGGGTTTTATGTTTATTGCAGTTTGACAAAGCTCTTGACTTCTCATGGCATCGGTTGGTGGGAATGTTACCTGGGCTGATTGGGCTTGTCCTGCGTAAGCTGATGGGGAACTGGTACTCTGAACAGGTGTTCAGTTGGTCTTGAGCTGAAATACACCATCCTGACTTGGTCAGTACTTGTATCACAGGGTACAGTCTTCTAACTGGCCAGAAGAAAAAAAACTTGACAGCATAGTTACCCTAACCATAGATTCTCTGTATGCACCGTTAGTAACTGTCATCAGTGAGGCAGAGTAACTTTGTCCTAGTGTTTTGATACAGCATCTCCTACTCAGTAAGTGGCAGTAAGGCAGTTTGCTGTCATTTGTCAGAGTGGCAGTAAGGCAGTTTGCTGTCATTGCTGCTGTGCTGTGAAAGAAGACCCCTTGCAATCCTTCAGTTATAAGGATTATAAATTAGCAAATCATAGAATCACAGAATGGTTTGGGTTGGAAGGGACCTTAAAATCATCCAGTCCCACCCCCTGCCATGGGCAGGGACACCTTCCACTAGACCAGGTTGCTCCAAGCCTTATCCAGCCTGGCCTTGGACACTTCCAGGGATGGGGCATCCACAGCTTCTCTAGGCAACCTGTCCCAGTGCCTCCCCACCCTCTCCGGGAAGAATTCCTTCCTGATATCTAATCTAAACCTCCCCACTTTCAATTTAAACCAGTTACCCCTTGTTCCATCACTACATGCCCTTGGAAAAAGTCCCCTCAGATTCCTTGGAGGCCCCAGTCTTAGACCGTCCCTGGGGATGCTGCTGTCTTACTGTACTTTTCATCAGCAGTTCTGTGCAGTCAGTGAACACTGAAAGCTCTCTGTGATGAAAATGAAGCATTCTTTATGTAGAAGACTCTCATGCTTGTAATAAAGTGGTTTGGGTTCTGTTACTTCAGGCTTTCAAAAACTTTCCAGAGTCACCAAATAAAGTTTAATGTGTAATATTGCAGCTTGGATTTTTGTACAAATTTAAAAATCATGGGTTTTTTTTGCTTGGGGTTCAAAGAAGTTTTCTTACGTTACATTTAAAGGATCCCTGTAATTTTGAAGGATGTTTTGGATAACTTTTGCTTGATAACAGATAGTAGGCCCGGGCAGGAAGGTATTACATCTTCAGCTAACCCGGGTGTACGTTGGTTTTGGCCTTGAATGTGTGACACGACGGCACAAGGGTGTTTAGCATGCTCTGCAGCAGTGCTCAGTGCTGCAGGTGTGGAAAACAAGCACAACCCCATAAACAACTCTCTCCTACAAAACCTGGGTGAGCAGACGTCGCAAAGAACTTCCCCTTGTCGTCTTGCGTCTCCTGCTTGAGGAAGCTGTGTA